GACACTAGATTATGTTTACTTATTAATATTCAACATTGTTTTTACTAAATTGTCGAAGTATGACATTTCCTCACAGTAATATAACGGTTGGCATTGATTGACGACGATTGCAAAGGATTATCAAAAAGACAAGAAAAAGAATAGGTAAGAAGAATGAAAAGACAACAGCATTTCTAAAAATCCATACGAAATAAAATGATATAAAATGAAAACAATAATAAAAATGACAATTTTTTTTAACTTTAAAAGTTATGTGTGAGATATGATAGTTACCTGTTCCGTTTTCACAACGTAATCCCATGAATCCTGGTGTACACATACAGCGACCAAAACCACCTGTTGTCATTAAACATGTACCTCCATTCAGGCATGGTATGGCAGTACAGTTATAACCTCCTAAAATTAAGTTAGATATAGATGATTATATCACATTGTCTATGGGAAGACATATGCGGGTTAGCAAGTTTAAATTAATTATAATATAAAATAATTTTAATTACCTGTTCTGTTTTCACACCGTGGTCCTCTAAATCCTGGTGCACAAACACAAGATCCTTCCCCATCAAACGACATTACACAAACACCTCCATTCAAACACGATGTTCCATTACAGCTGGTGATATCTGAAATGCAAAATGAATTGCCATGATATGCACTGCGCAAGTTTGGAGTATTGAGAAATGCATACATTGTACGATTTATTGCAGGGTCGCGACACTCAACTCGTGCATTATTCGTTAGATGGGAGAACGATAAATTGGCTTATTACCACTTGGTTGTTCACAGTGTTGTCCAGTAAATCCCATGGCACAGTGACAGCGATATCGTCGATCAACTGGCATATCACCAGCCCATTGTAATGATTCACATGATCCACCATTAAGACATGGCATAGAAGCACATTCACTTACTATGATATAAATGAATAAGAACGTAAATAATGAAATCAATAAAGACACAAATATACATGTCATTATGTCCCTGGGCAATTCACAAACCAATTGAAATTATGTATTTCACACCATAAAACAATGTACGTACCCATTTGGTGTTCACAGTTGGTGCCATAAAAATTGGACGGGCATGCGCAGTAGTATGGTGCTGCATTTGCACCGTGGTTCCATGTAGCTGGTCTGCAATTTGCTCCATTGAGACAGGGATTAGGTACGCATGAATTATTGCCTAGCAACAAAGAAGTAATATTAATTAAATTATATGTATTCGTTAGGCACTGTTATTCGCGTGCAGAAAACATTCGCGATTGGTTATGAATTCAAGAATCGAGAACTTCAAATAGCTTATTTATCAATTCCAAGTAATCAAATTAGTACCTTTCGGCACCAGATTATGTTTACTTATAAATATTCAACATTGTTTTTACTAAATTGTCGAAGTATGACATTTCCTCACAGTATTAGTTGGCATTCGTTGACGAATGACAAAAGATTATAAAAAAGATATATGAATTAGAATAGCGTAAGAAGATTGAAAAGACAACAGTATTTCTAAAAATACACACAAAATTAAATGTATGCAGTAGTATGTAAAATAATAAGAATGAAACATTTTTAAACTTTAAAAGTTATGTGTAGATATGATAGTTACCTGTTCCGTTTTCACAACGTAATCCCATGAATCCTGGTGTACACATACAGCGACCAAAACCACCTGTTGTCATTAAACATGTACCTCCATTCAGGCATGGTATGGCAGTACAGTTATAACCTCCTAAAATTAAGTTAGATATAGAGGATTACATCGCATTGACTATGGGAAGACATGTGCGGATTAGCAGGTTTAAATTAATTATAATATAAAATAATTGTTATTACCTGTTCTGTTTTCACACCGTGGTCCTCTAAATCCTGGTGCACAAACACAAGATCCTTCCCCATCAAACGACATTACACAAACACCTCCATTCAAACACGATGTTCCATTACAGCTGGTGATATCTGAAATGCAAAATGAATTGCCATGATATGCACTGCGCAAGATTCGAGTATTGAGAAATGCATACATTGTACGACTTATTGCAGGGTCGCGTACACTCAACTCGTGCATTATTCGTTAGATGGGAGAACGATAAATTGGCTTA